AACTACAACATATATCCGTTCGGTATTTAATCACCTTTGAATTAGTTCTCTTCTATAGCCACAATCTTAATCGTCGGTTCCCTTGATGTAAGAATTCATGGCGCTCTTTTTGGGGTGGGGGGGAGGATAGCGCGAAGCTGCCTCGTTTTGAAATCCTATTTCTTTCAAATGGGATTTGATTTTTAGAAAACAAAGAAAAAGTCGGAGGTGACGAGATATTGGGAATAGTTGGACGTGGGAAAAATTCTGCTCGGCCAAAATCATGGCGCTAAATGGGCAGGTGCATTATGCTTGATGTGTCACTCAACGGCGGCATGGAATTCTGTCCTTTTCAGGTTCACAGCACCCAAGAAACGCCGCAACGGGTCACGGTAGTAAACCGTTGTTTATTGTGTAACCAGATGGAGCACACTCATGATGACCAAAATGTCTTTGTAGTCGAAGAAAATTGTCAATAGTGTCTCCGACATTGATTCGACTTTCTTTGTGCTTTCTTTGGTCTCAGAGAGTTTGGGGTTTTCCATGGCGAAGAGTGACCATTAGTTTCATATACCTACGATTTATCACCTGCTATGACCGTTTTCAAAACGTTTTCTCTGGTGTAATTAGGATAAGCACACGCTACCCTTTTTCCTTCTAAGTATTGCTACGGACTACGGAAGTAAGCGTGGATGTTATAACTTAGTGTGCATGCGCAACAAGGTCCAAGGTCAACGTTTGCCAAGTGGCTTTACTCTGCGTACTTTAGCTCCGTTACCATAGCAACAGTATCGATACTGACTAAATACTCCAGATTGCCCTTACAAAGCAGTTTTTGCCCTCACAGACACACACACACACAGAACACGTGTGTAAAATACTTACATGCAAGGGCAATCCGGAGTACTGATTCAGAATCAATGAAGTTGATAAATTTAAACCCAGCAGTATTTGTCCAGGTGGTATATTTATTTTTATATTTGGTTCCTTAATGCTATGAATACTGCGCGGTGGGTTAACAATTATTCAGAATAAAATTAGCATTACCTAACTACTTATTTATGATTGTAATTAAATTCTATTTTATTTAACATTGAATTCTTGAGTTATAATTAATTATTAACAGACACCCTATGTCACAAAAGATAAAGTCACTCAAGTTATTTTCCCCCCAAACCCGTCACTGTTGCTATGACTGCAGCATAGGTCGTGACCCTACGACACCGATGGGTTATGGGATTCTTCTGGGTTGTGTGCGGAAATAGAAATCCACTTCTTATTTGCAGTTTTCATTGATAAGATTGAGAATTATGAATTAGATTGCTCACATATTTTATTCATAATATAACCTCCTTTGTTTTAACACTTAGACTTCATCTAATATTTATGTACATAAGGGTTTCTTGTTTATCTATCTATCTATCTATCTATCTATCTATTTTTCTCAGTCTGTTCATTATCTATCTATCTATCTATCTATCTATCTGTGTTTGTTCTTTATTTATTTATTGTCTGTCTACCTATTTATCTAAGTTGGTTTTTTATCTATCTATCTATGTATATATCTATCTGTCTAATTCAGTTTGATTATATCTATATCTATATATGTATATAACAATCTATCTCAGTTTGATTATATCTAACTATATGTATGTATCTATCTATCAATCTCTTTCAGTTTTATCATGTCTATCTATACGTGTCTATATCTATGTATCTCTCTCAGTTTGATCCTATCTATTTATCTATCTATCTCACTTTCTTCATATCTATCTCCATGTACGTATCTATTTTTTTAAGCATTTCACCCCAAGCAAGGCGGGACGCCACTAGGACGCAAGGGGTTACAGAAAATTTAGAGTAAGATCAGATAGGAGTGATAGAAGAAAGGATGAGGGTAGTGGATAAATCAAGGCAACTGGAGATGTCGATTGACATTACATTTGAATAGCTGGAGATTATAGCTCTCAGGGAAACTAGAATAGAGAAGGGAGTTCTACAGGCGAGAGGTGCGAGACATGAAGCTATTAGAGTAGAAGAGACGGCTACATTTAGGAGTTTCGACAGTGAAGGGGTGAGAGCGGGATGACAGCCTCGTAGGGCGCTGGAACTCATGACATCTGGGAACCAGTGAATGCAGCTCCTCGGAGCAATTTCCATGAAAGTATTTGTAGAACAGACAGAGGGAGGCGTCTGTGAGAAAGTGATTTATTTATCAATCTATCTCGGTTTGATCATATATATATATATCTTTGTATCTACATTATTCTCTATTTTATTATGCAAGTCAAAGTTTTCGCAATAAAATTATTATCAACCAACAGACGGTAGAAGTCTTTTCAGGTTTTACTTATATGATAAATACTCCACGTGAATATCAGATTATAATGTCTTTTTTATTATTAATATTTGCAATAAACTATTTGCTCATGTGAAATTGTATTACATAACTAACATTTTTTGATCTTATCGGATGTTTATATCTATCTATCTATCTGTGTATTTTGCTGAAAAATTGTTTTAATACAAGAAAAGATTCTTGCTCAGTCTATCTAGATTTTATTCATAATCTATTTATCACAATCTATTCATATTTGTCTGTGGGCATATCATTATCTAGTAACACTTGTTCATCTCTTTTTCATCGCTTACCATTGTGTATAGTTCCAGGCATCAATCCAAAGATATAAGACCATTCTTTTGGTTCCCATATCTTTTACTTCAGGCTATAATAAACAAACGCAAATATTTTGTAAAACCACTCTCCTTCAATCCCATTATTGTCATAGCGTCAACACATTTTATAGGTTTTATGTTATATTGAATGATATCTGTCAAAAATTCAACAGCTTTAACAATGGTGCGTGTGCGTTGATAATTAAGATGGAAAAAAAAAGGTTATCATTGAATTCTCATCGTCGCGGCTTATGCTACCTTCTGTGTTTTATCTCGAACAGGGAGTTATTTTTTATAAGTCGATAAAATTCATTAGCCAATAAACGGTTAATTAATAGACGTGGGCATAGCATAGCGGTTACGGGTCAGTTGAGTTCAGGTGAAATCAACATTTCATCACTTTTCCCACTGTTAAAAAGTAGGGAAGATTGGACTTGGTAGGATTGCTTGGCAATTAGCCAACAAATCTAATAGATAGATAGATAGATAGATAGATAGATAGATAGATAGATAGATAGATAGAAACTGATTGTGATAAATGGATAGAGAGATAGAAATAGACTGACAGAGATAGATAGATAGATAGATAGATAGATAGATAGATAGATAGATAGAAACTGATTGCGATAAATGGATAGATAGATAGTTAGAAATAGACTGACAGAGATAGATAGTTAGATACAGACTGAGAGAGCGTTAATATTTCAGTTCACTACATATAATTTTTGAAAACTCGTGCGATACCATGTCCTCGTCGGTCGCCAGCTAGGAAAAGTAACAGAGTTTCGGTGGCTAAGGCGGTACTGCCACACCTGGCGCCACTAGCAGCTTTTGTCACCGGACAGTGCATTTTTTGTAGACATGTCAGTCTCATGCGTTTTTGTTTTTACAACTGCAGCTGATAGTTTGAACGCGCTCGTAGCCAACATTATTAATTATATTAATTAATGATTAATGATGTATATTAATATACATACACACACACGCACACCCTTATATATATATATATATATATATATATATATATATATATATTTCATTTATACAAGTTCTGTTAATGACCAGAAAATTCAAAATTATTAGTTCAGTCATGGGTAAGACGTTAAACTACATCCGCTTCCTGGGTAAGACGATAAACTACGTCCAGCAGCAAGGCATCTGATCAGGAGGTTTTGAGGAGCGTGGAATCACCTCTTAATTGCTGGTGTTCCCAGGTCCACCCTGACCCGCGGTGGTAGCACCTGTTAGGGTGCCAGCTATGGGCAAATAGTTAACTATTACCAGTAATACATTTTTGAAACAAAATTATTATCAGCCATACAATTTTGAAGGAAAAATGTTACAAGAAACAGATTTTTGACAAAACAAAATATTACCAGCAATAAAATTTTTGCCGGCATTAAATAATCCATTTAACAAGAGTATTTGTGTGAAAGTGAATGCATCGATCTCAACTGGAATTCGAACTCGGTTTACCGATTTCACGTTCCGAGCCACTGACAAAAGCACCAACTACACATCCAAACAATGTTTCTTATATAATTTTTTCTTCCATCTTTCTTCGCAATCAAACAGGGACGGTTCATTATTTACCTTGGTAATGGCAAGGCGTAACGTACGCGTTAGCTTACTAAGAAACGAATGAGCAATTAGATTAGAACATGTTTGGCGAACATCTTTTATTAATAAATTTATTTATAAATAAGAGGGTACAAATGAAAAAAATGAAATTGACAACTTTTTCCATTTCACTGAAAAAGACGTTAGACACTTCTATTCCCCCCTTTTTCTTCTCTTAATGTCTCTGATATATCACTTCCGTATTTTCACACCGTCAAAACGGAATACTTCATTATTTATAAGTTACTGACAAGCCGTAACGGTCGTGCGAACTAAGCAACAAATGAAGGAAGTGACAAGCAGATTTACAACAGAGATAATATAATTTTAAGATTTTTTCCGTAAAGATTGGTGTCAAAATGAAGGAATAATATTTTTAAACAGCTACTAACTACAAACTTTTTACTATATTAACGGGCATCACCGATTCACTGCTAGCCTTACTGAAGCCTGGAACATCGAAAACTAAAATGGAATAAATGCTGTTTTCCGCGCAACTCGAGTTGAATCTAAAAATAAATAACTGAGTAAATATATAATAACATATCCTGTTGTGTCTTTTTCCGATTTGAAACCCGCCGAAAGCCACAAGAGTTGCCGATAGCGATTTACAAAGAAAAGAATTTGGACGGCTACCAGCACCAATTATGCAGACCCCATTACCCTGTCCTCTCATCGCCGTGTTTGGTGAATAGAAGGAATTTTCTCTGCGGCTAGAATTTGGCATGGCTGCGTTGACACTCGACGCCTTTCTCGGTATTGTCTATTAGATAAGTATTCGAATTCATTGGATGGCAGCTGAATACGGATTTTGTTTTGTAACGTTTATCTAAGACACACAAAGTGTTTACATATCTATCTATCTATCTATCTATCTATCTATCTATCTATCTATCTAATCTAGCATGTTTATATCTATCTATCTATCTATCTATCTAATCTAGCATGTTTATATCTATCTATCTATCTGTTTCGTTCTTTTCATATCTATCTATCTATCTCTGTCAGTCTGTATCTATCTATCTATCTATGTCAGTCTCTTTCTATCTATCTATCTATCTATCTATCCATTTATCGCAATCTCTCTATCTATCTATCTATCTATCTATCTATCTATCTATCTATCTCTGTCAGTCTGTATCTATCTATGTCAGTCTCTTTCTATCTATCTATCTATCTATCTATCTATCTATCTATCTATCGCAATCACCATCTATCTATCTATCTATCTATCTATCTATCTATCTATCTATTTCTGTCAGTCTGTATCTATCTATCTATCTATCTATCTATCTATCTACCGCCATCAGTTTCAGAGATAACTCAGGAATTTCGGGATGTCGTTGTGCTGCGGACAGAGCTTCATCTTCTGTGAATGACGTCCTGTTGAGCACTGTTTCAAAATGATCTTTCCAGCGCTGAAGTACGGCATTTTATCAGTTAGGAGAGTATCCCTGTCATTGAAGAGACGGCGATCTTTTGGGGACCGTACACTGCTTTTAAACCATCATAAAAAAGCTTTTGAGTCTTTTTTCTCAGCAGCCATTTAGAGTTAAGCAGCCTTGGCTGACGACCAACTCTCTTTCATGTGTCTGAGGGCACATTGTACTCTTGCTTTACACCTTTTCTAGTTGGCTTCTTTTGACTGACAGTTTTTTTCGCATCGAGATCTTATTGTAATACTACTTGGGTTGCTGGTGATCAATAATAATAAAAAATATTGGAATATCAACAAAAATGAGATATTGATAAATAATCTACAATGGAAAGGATTAAATGAATATCAGTAACTATAGACTGATAATAACTGATTCCCAAAGAATCGAGGTCTATAAAATGAAAAAGGTGACCGGCTGAGAGAAATGCTTGGTTTGTACGACGGGCCAAGTGTTGACAGCATTCAGCAAACTGGAATTGGGGAATTGGGTTAAATTCCAGTTTCTTTTTGCAGAGATGTCAGGATTGGAAACAATACACTGAATACCTGTTGACCTTCAGCCGAACGAATTGTTACCATAATGTGAGTTGCAAAATTTTTTCTAGGAAATTGTATTTTGGGTCAAAAGCGAGAAATCCATTTGTTGTGTCAATTCACTTATAAAATGATAGCATTTGGAATAATAATTTTATTTAATTAGTCTTCGACCGAATGGTGGGGGTGATAAGCGCAGAAGAGAAATTAACGAAGGAGGAGGGGCTGCCTGCAACCACTGATGAGTAGTAGGCACACACGGGACATTAAGAATGTGGAAGGAGCTGCCCACGCCCATTGGTGGTAGATGTTAATTAGAGAACGTAGAAGTAACCAGGCGGAGCGATGCCTGTACCTATCTTCCATGAAAGAAGGAAATTCCCTAAAAGTATGAAGTAATTTCATTTCTCAGGACAAAAAAACAATGGAGATGACAGGTTGATGAAATACCAATTCCCTTACATCTCACTCTACACCAGTTTTGTTTTGGGCAGACAACAATGGATTCTTGTTGGAAATCAGGGGATTCACAGGAACCCAACCTGCACCTTGCTCCTCACCATTTTCTAGTTGGAGTCCATAAATACGAATTCACAAAGTAAATTCAGGGTGTTGACAGTTGAGAGCTAAGAGACAAATGGGAAGTGGCGCAGGTCGCACTGGGATTCAACAATTCCTACCGAACACGAGAAACTCCGACTTCAGACTTAAGCCAAATTTACCAAATGAGTAAAACAAATTTTGCTAAATCCGCAAGCCAAAACTTGCCAGTTTACCCAAGTATTGCGCCCGATTTAGGAACGGTTTGGGTCCACAAACACCTACATGATAACACAACTACTAACGAACAATTATAGGAGTATTCGATATAAAAATAGTAAATATTTATAAATTTAAAGATATTTTTGTAGGTACAAAATTTAATGATCGAAATAAAAGTGTAAAATTTAATATTACAAGACATATTAAAACAATATTAAATATTAAAAAAAAAACTCAACAACAAGTTGGGGGGAAGCAACCGGTTTCGCTCCCGCTCATCAGGCTGTATTTCATCTGAAGGTTCTGGAGGCGCTTTACATCGGGTCCCGCAAGCCTTCTTTGTACGAACAATGTGAGTGTTTGCTGGGACTAGCTGTCATCTGCCTTTAGTTCCTTCTTGCATATATACAGGTATATATATGTATATGTATGTATATATTTTTTTTTCCACCTATTCTTATTGTACATTTCTCTGTTTTAATTTTGAATCTCCCGTGGAAGCCTGATGAACTGGAGCGAAACCGGTTGCTTTTATTTCGATATTTATATATATATTTCCAGTGCTGTTTTTTCTCTAATTTTACTGTCCGACTTCGCTCGATTGGACCAGCCCAACACGAAGATACCTGCAACGAATCGATCTTGGCCTCCTTATAATCAATCACAACGTCGGGGGTGGGGGCAGGTAAGGATCAAAGAGATCACTCCATTAATGTGTTTTGATACAGATGACTTTTGTAACGTGTGTTTATGACGAATCTTGACTTTGCTGCGAAGCAGGGCGTGGTCAGAGAGGTAACAGGTGGCATGAAAAGAGCGTGTGATGAGAAAGTGATATGTCCCGGAAAGGGATATATTTGTTCGAAGAAGCAAAGTGGTTTTGGACTACTGTAACAGAATAGGGCAATCTAGCAGGTAACCGTAAGGGACTGGCCCTCTTCGTAGTGGTAGGCAATGGACGAAGACTATAGGCGTAGCCAACGGCCATCGTCAATGGGCGTCCACTTGTACCTCCACATCAGTCTGCATTTATGGCTGACACCAGCCAATCATATTACTGTGAGGGGGAACCCAGGTGTATCTATATTCATTACATCAGAAAGTTTCGAACATCTCTCTGTTTGGTTATGACAAATTCAATAAGATTTCAATCTTTCGATCTGAGATGCATCCATGATGACTTTCAGTATCTGGACTGCTGAAACAAAGTGTGTGTGATGCTGAAATCAAATTCTCTACACATAGTAATCGCAGACCATTAGAATTCATTCGCCCAGTACCGTGACAACCAATGATACCTTTCCATATCAAAACCAACAGAAGTCAACCTAGGGGACTAATTAATCACAGTGGTCACAGCTAGATATCACATTCCGAAGTTGATTGTAGAAGTGACCCTTTACATGCTCAGTACCGTTTATGGTCAGAGTATAACAAGTGACCAACAAGGAACTAGCTTTGTTTTGAGAGTCGTCATTCTATCAGAGACAGCCTTAGGCAGAGAAGGTAATGATCCCACAATTTTTGATTTGATAGCAAAACCTACACTCGATTGTAACGGCTCGTTTTCATCATTCCCAGAACAGAAAAAGTTGCACCCTCCTTTTCTCTCCACCAATTGTGATACACCAGAAAGTCGAGTTTCACTCAGTGCAGCCATATCAATGCTGTACTTTTTTAGCTCCATTGCGACCAGAAATGTCTTTCTTTCTGGTGCTGAGTTGTTGTCCTAGACAGTTCGTACATTCCAAGAGCCAAGATGAAGTTATTGATTTTTAATAGAGTTTTTCACAGTAGCCGGATGACGATCAGGCTTACGCTGCAGTGCCGTGGGACATTTGCCGGCCTAGACTCCTTCACTTAATATCCCACTGCTCTAATTGTCGACTTCCGTTTGGAGTGAAAGTCGCCACTATCTTTCTTCAACAAATTATGAACGAGATGCTGGCTGATTTCAATTTTGCCATTACATACCTGGACGATGTCTTCATAAAGAATGGAATTCGAAAACAACATTTTGAGCACAAAGTATTCGACAGGATAAAAGAATACGGGTTCAAACTTAAGCCCGAGAAGTTTTATGGCCCAGATAAAGTACTTAGGACAAATTATTGACGAAAATGGAAAAATAAAAAACAGAGTAGAAGCAATAAAAGGCATTGGTACTAAAAAAAATAAATGTGACTACGCTACAAGCTTTTTTATATATATAATATATATAAGGGGTTTTGATGTCAGAGTTTGCCGTCTCTAGTACGAGGCCTGGAAGCTATATATATATATATATATATATATATGTGTGTGTGTGTGTGTGTGTGTGTGTGTGTGTGTGTGTGTGTGTGTGTGTGATAGTAGTCATGGCTCCTGGGGGCACAGTCCTATGGTTATAGAGAAACTCAGTTGAGTTCCACCACGGAATATGTGAGTGAGCGGCGCTATATCAAGTCTGATTCGCTACCTCTTTGTCACCGAGGCGCGTTGGAACAGTTAGTATGACTTTTGCATGATACCCTAACTTTCAGAGTACGCACTGCTGATGAGTCCCAAATATAGCACGAAACGGCTGTCCTGTGCTTTCTGCATTCTGTTGAGGTTTCTTTCAGACTCGATGAATTATTTAATTATATATATATATATATATATATATATATATATATATATATATATATATATATGGAGGTACGCATCTGATAGATCCAGGTTCGAAAAAATTTCCACCATTTTTGAAAAAATGTCCTCAGGTGCTGGTAATGGGTAGGTTTGTGCTTTCAGACAATCATTTAAGCCATTTCAAAAAATCTGCGAAACGTCGTATTTTATGATTTTTGTTTTTTACATAGACTCTCGGCTTTTGAGAGGGCACCCAGTTTTTGAAGTCGCTCCAATTTCTTGTTTATTGGTTCGAAAGTTGCGACCGGCACGTTTTCTTTTAGGCTTGAAAATAAACTTCACATTTTCCTTGACTTCAAACTTTCCTTCCATCTGAAAATACTTCAAGAAACTTATCTTTCAGATCCTTCATTAATTTTTCTGCCACCTTATTTATGCTAGGGCTGTGGGGGGTCGAAACATCAATTACAAAAAGAATTACAGTCGTTCCCATAAATCGTAGAAAATAATCCAATCCTTTCAAATAGATTGGGCGCGTTTTGCAGCACAAAAACTTGATTTTTAAGACTTTCAAAAAATATGGTTAATTTGTATTTTAGCACCCGCACTCACTACCCAATAAAAAATTTCAGAATAATAATATTTGTGTGTAATTGTTCATGCGCTGATTCGAATCTGGCTATATTTCTGAGATGAGGTATTAAGTATATTATTTACATTATTCGGACTATTGTCCGCATCATTTATCAGTTATCTTCCTTTAATTCCCCTCTCCGAGTTCTCCACTGCCTTAACCAGGTATTGAACTCACACTCTTTGGGTCCTATCACTGGATCTAACTAACGCTGTTATCCACTGTGCCATGTGTCCTCAAGGACATAACTGATAACAGACATCCATTAAATATGGCACGAGTAACTAGAACAGTCTACCCCAGTGAGCGAAATAAAGTGCTTATTTCGACATTCCAACCACCTGAAGAAGGTCGGAGCGTACAACGGCCGAAACCATTACTGGAGTTGTTGCGCACG